TATAGAAAACCTAGCTAAGTATGACCATTGTCAGAGCGGCCATTTTGATTAGAATGCTAAAATGATTTCAGGGAACACGTTTAGAGATGGCACCACGTGTGAAATCCATTTACTGCACCGTTATTAGGCAAACGATTACAGGAAAGAAACGGAAAGGGGTGGAGGAACGGGAATGGTGGGGACTGTGGAGAGCGGGAGGCGCTGATTGTTCAATGCCAACAGCCAGTCCTCAGCTCCAACTGATTGATTCCTTGCAGGAACACAGGCAAACACTGCTAGAGATCCAGAGTTTTAAAGAGACATCACCTGATTTTTTAAACCCAAGTGACAGGAAAACAAAATGGGTCTTTTGAAGAGCAGTTTTCTCTCTTTTCCCATTTATATTTTGCTGTAGAATGATTAGGCTAGCGGTAATCTTCTGACTCCTTCAGGAAAGTTGTACAATGGGGTTAATGTAATAACACTTTGGGAAGCTGCAGAGGGAGGATCACATGATACCAGGAGCTCAAGACTAGCCTGGGTAACATAGAGAGACCCTCATCTCTGCAAAAATTTAAAAATTAGCTGGGCATGGTGGTGAATACCTGTAATCACAGCTACTCAGGAGACTGAGGCAGGAGGATTGCTTGAGCTCAGGAATTTGAGGTTGCAGTGAGCTATGATTGTACCACTGCACTCCAGCCTTGGTGACACAGGGAGACCCCATCTTAAATATATGTATATAGGCTAGGTGCAGTGGCTCACACCTGTAATCCCAGCATTCTACAAAGCTGAGGCCAGCAGACTGATCTGAACTCAGGAGATAGAGACCAGCCTGGGCAACATGGTGAAACCCCATCTGTATCAAAAATACAAAAAAAAAAAAAAAAAATTTAGTTAGGTGGGGTGACAGGTGTCTGTATTTGTAGTCCTAGCTACTCAGGAGAATCACTTGAACCTGTGAGGCAGAGGTTGCAGTGAGCTGAGATCATGCCACTGTACTCTAGTCTGGGCAATAGTGAGACCTTGTCTCAAAAAAAAAACAAAAAAACAAACAAACAAAAAAAACCCAGATTCACATCAAGGGAAAATTTGTTCATCAAATTTCAATAAAAACTTCTTCAAAATTGGTGGATGTGACTGGAAAATCATGATTTAGTAAGTGCATACTGTATTTCTTTTATTTGAATTCATGCTTCTCTGTGACACAGCTTAAATAACATATATATATATATATATATACAGTATGCATATATTTAGTTAGTATATGTATTTATTTCATGAGAATAAAAGGATTTAAGAATGATTAATAATTAAAATGCCATCAGGCAAGATAAAGAAATAAAGAGCATCCAAATGGAAAGAAAGGAAGTCAAACTGTCTGTTTGCAGATGATATAATCCTATATCTATAAAACCCTATAGCATTGGCCAAAAAGCTCCTTCAGCTGATAAACAACTTCATCAAAGTCTCAGGATAGAAAATCAATGTACAAAAATCACTAGCATTCCTATACACGGGCAACAGCCAGCAAGAGTCAAATCAGGAACTCCATCCCATTCACAATCGCCACAAAAAGAATAAAATACCTAGGAAAACAGCTAACCAGGAACGTGAAAGATCTCTACAATGAGAATTACAAAACCCTGCTCAAATAAGTCAGAAATGACACAAATAAATGGAAAAACATTCCATGTTCATGGATAGGAAGAATCAATATCATTAAAATGGCTATACTGACCAAAGCAATTTCTAGATTCAACGTTATTCCTATCAAACTTCCAATGACATTCTTCATAGAACTAGAAAAAACTATTTTAAAATTTATAGGAAAAAAAAAAAAAAAAAAAAAAAAAAAGAGCCCAAATAGTGAAGGCAATCCTAAGTAAAAAGAACAAAGCTGGGGGCATTACCCTGCCTGATATCAAATCATGCTATAGGGTTACAGTAACCAAAACAGCATGGTACTGGTACAAAAATAGACACAAAGACCAATAGAACAGAATAGAGAGCCCAGAAATAAGGCCATACACCTATAACCATCTGATCTTTAACAAAGCTGACCCCCCCCCAAAAAAGTCATGGGGAAAGGACTCCCTATTTAATAAATGGTGCTGGGATAACCGGCTAGCCATATGCAGAAGATTGAAACTGGACCCCCTTCCTTACACCATATACAAAAATCAAGATGGATTAAAGACTTACATGTAAAACCCCAAACCATAAAAACCCTGGAAGACAACCTAGGCAATACCATTCTAGACATAGGAATGGGCAAAGGTTTATGACAAAAGCAAAGCCAGGCCTGGTGGCTGATGCCTGTAATCCCAGCACTTTGTGAAGCTGAGGCAGCCAGATCACTTGCGGTCAGGAGTTTGAGACCAGCCTGATCCACAGGGTAAAACCCCATCTCTACTAAAATTACAAAAATTAGCAGGGTGTGGTGGTAGGCACCTGTAATCCCCACTTCTCAGGAGTCCAAGGGAGGAGAATCTCTTGAGCCCAGGAGGCAGAAGTTGCAGTGAGTAGAGATCGCACCACTGCACTCCAGCCCCAGTGACAGAGCGAGACTCTCTCTTAAAAAAAAAAAAAAAAAAAGAGATGTCAAAAGCAATTGTAACAAAAGCAGAAATTGACAAATGGGATCTATTAAAGGAAAGAGCTTCTTCACAGTAAACAAAACTATCATCAGAGTAAAAAAACCTACCGAATGGGAGAAAAAATTTGCAAACTATACATTGGATAAAGGTATTATATCCAGCATCCATAAGCTACTTAAACAAATTTACAAGAGAAAAAGCAAACAACCCCTTTAAAAAGTGGGCAAAGGGTATGAACAGACACTTCTCAAAAGAAGACATACATGTGGCCAACATGAAAAAAAGCTGAACATCGCTGATCATTAGAGAAATGCAAATCAAAACCACAAGGTACCATCACACACCAGTCAGAAGGGCTATTGTTAAAAAGTAAAACAAACAAACAAACAAACAAACAGATTCTGCCAAGGTTGCAGAGAAAAGGGAACACTTACACACTCTTGGTAGGAATGTAAATTAGTTCAACTACTGTGGAAAGCAGAGTGGAGAATTTCCTCAAAAATCTCAAAACAGAGCTACTGTTCGACCCAGCAACCCCATTATGGGGTATATATCCAAAAAAATATAAATTATTCCACATGCATTGGAATCAACCTAAATGCCCATCAATGGCAGATTGGATAAAGAAAGTGTGGTACATGTATGCTGTGGAATATTATGCAGCCATAAAAAAGAGCAAGATTTTTTTTTTTTAGACTGAGTCTCACTGTGCTGTCCAGGCTGGAGTGTACTGGTGTGATCTCGGCTCACTGCAACCTCCACCCGCCGGGTTCAAGCAATTCCTCTGCCTCAGCCTTACTTGAGTAGCTGGGATTACAGGTGCCTGCCACCCTGCCCAGCTAGTTTTTGTATTTTTAGTAGAGATAGGGTTTCACCAAGTTGGCCAGGCTGGTCTTGAACTCCTGACCTCGTGATCCACCTGCCTCAGCCTCCCAAAGTGCTGGGATCACAGGCGTGAGCCACTGCGCCCGGCCTCATGCATCATATTTTAAACTGTGGAGGTTGGTGCCAGCAGAATTTGGACTACGTTTGGTTTCTTCAGGATAAAGTCATGATTGGACTAGGCTTTGTTTGTCAATAAAACTGATTTACCAAGAAAACTAAACAAAGCCAGACGTGAGTATTTCGTTTTTATCTCAAGCATCTCATGAAGGAGTAAAGATAAGGCTTCTAGTATTTTTCTGCAAAAGCCCAGCAAAATTCGGGGTCATCTGAAACTTTCCCAGGTTTAATTGTTTTTAAGTCTGAAAAGATGTACTTTAAACAAGTAAAAGAAACAACAAAATACAAGTTTTAATTTTTAAAAGAAAAAGTAGCCAAATTTGTTCAAAAAACAAAAAAAATAATTTTAAAAGAAGAAAATAGGCACAGAAAAGAAAAACACAAAAAAGGGATTTTTTTTTTTTTTTAAAGACTAAAGCAATAAAAAACAATTGATGTTTGTTACCTTTAGACAAAGAAGAGGGAGAAGAGAATGTGACTTTTACTTTGCAATGTATACCTTTCTACAGTGTTTGGATGGCTAAAAGTACTTCCATTCATCACTCCTACTTTTTAAAGTATTGGGCCTAGTATGGTGGCTCATTCCTATCATTCCAGTGCCTTGGAGGCCTAGGTAAGAGGATCGCTTGAGGCCAGGAGTTTAAGAGCATCCTTGGCAACGTATCAAGAACCTGTCTCTACAAAAAAATTTTTTTAATTCACTGGGCGGCCAGACATGGTGGCTCATGCCTGTAATCCCAGCACTTTGGGAGGCATCGGCGGACAGATGACCTGAGGTCAGGAGTTCAAGACCAGCCTGGCCAACATGGTGAAACCCCATCTATCTCTACTAAAAATATAGAATTAGCTGGGAGTGACGGCAGGTGCCTGTAATCCCACCTACTTGGGAGGCCAAGGCAGGAGAATTGCTTGAACCTGTGAGCAGAGGTTGCAGTGAACTGAGATTGTGTGATTGCTCTCCAGCCTGGGCAACAAGAGCAAAACTCCGTCTAAAAAAAAAAAATTCGCTGAGCATGGTAGCCCACACCTCTGTAGTCCTAGCTACTATTAAGACTGAGGTGGGAGTATTCCTTGAGCCCAGGAGTTCAAGGCTGCAGTGAGGTATTATGAGCCACTGCACTCCAGCCAGGGACAGAGCAAGACCCCATGTCTAAAATTTTAAAAAATAAAATAGAATACTAAAATAAAATAGAAATAGCTTATAATTTTAAAAGAATTATTTTTAGAAACCATGAAAACCAAAAAGCTTCAAAGCAGAAACTAATTTTTTTAAAAAAGTGATTATCAAACATGCTTTCAAAATATTTCAAGTAGAAATTGATAGAATGTACTATAGACGGGAAGACACCACATGTAAGCTAAGTGAGTAAAAAACTTTCAGGAGTTCACATGTGATCATCAAAATATTAAAAACCAAAATAATTTTATATCAGATATTTTAATGAAAAAGTGTCAGTCTATTAAAATAACATGCCCCAAACAGTCACATTAAGAGTGAAGGTTCCACCCAGTAGGAATCCACGCACAGCCCTTACACAGCCATCACACACTTTTTAAATCTAACACCTCCTAAAAATCCTTGTATTTTTGTTGCTCTTGTGGGAATTATTGAGTGGGTTAAGAAAAAATTTTTTTAATAAATACATTTTTTTTGGCCAGGCTTGGTGGCTCATGCCCGTAATCCCAGCACTTTCGGAGGCTGAGGCGGGTGGATCACCTGAGGTCAGGAGTTCAAAACCAGCCTGACCAACATGGTGAAACCAAACCGAATCTCTACTAAAAAGACAAAAAATTAGCCAGGCGTGGTGGCGCATGCCCGTAATCACAGCTATTTGGGCGGCTGGTGCGGGAGAATCGCTTGAACCTCGGAGGCCGAAGTGGCAGTGAGCTGAGACTTCGACTCTGCACTCCTGCCGGGGCGACAGGAGCAAAACTCCGTCACAAAACCAAACCAAAGCATTTTTTTTAAATGCTACTAAGCAACCGCATCTGCCCTTAGACAACAGATTTAAGTCGGGCTTTAATATCGAAATCATGTTTACAAAGCAGAAATAGCTAAATAACGAGTCTCAGGTTAAGTAGGAGGTGGAGGGGGTGACTCAGAAGAATTCGTCACCTGGTCAGCCAGTGACAATGCCGAAGGAGCTTGGAAAGTTGGCTCTACCAGATAACAACTCTTGTTGACACAGACCTTCCCTTTGTCCAGAGTCCTTTCTCAGAGGTATGCATGAGTGCACCAAAAACGAATCGCCGGGAGAAAGAAAAGTAAAAGCTGACTTCCTGCGGTGAGTAGTGTGCGGGGCCGGGGGCCATCCGAGAAGCCCCCAGCCTCTGTACACTCAGCAGGAAAGCGCGGTGTCCTGGCTCGGGTGTCCCCAAGAGAATGTGGGGAGACAGGTCCCCCAGCAGGGCCCAGGAGACAGAGGCAGATTCATTTAGATAAGGAGCACTCAGGGCCCCTTGAGGAGTCGCCGTGGGGAGCGGACCCTCCCCCCAGGGACCACCCGCTCCTGAGGATCGCGGCCCTCAGTTGATGCCCTGGTCTCTGCCCTTTCCTCCTGGGCCTTTTTCCTGCAGACCTCCCGCCTGCTGGGGCGGAAGATGGAGGGGCGGGGGTCCTTCCTCTGACTCTTCAGCTTCCGAAGCAGACTCAGTGGCCTCGTCGTTGTAGAAGTGAATGGTGGCTTGCACGGGGAAACTGGCCAGCACTTTCATCCCGGAGCTCTGCAGGAATTCTTGACGCTTCGACATGGGTAAATAGAGTCTAATATTTAAGAAACAAATACGCCATTAACCAACTGGAATCCAGTCCTAAAACCCTTCTAGAGTATCCTCTTTCCCAGAAGCAGAGAACTCCCCAATCTTCCTCTCTCTGATCTTTGCCTTCACAACGCACAGTATTTATTTTAAGTCACCAGAACAGAAAACTGTAGATACCTATTGGAGGACTTGGTGATAAACCTTCCCCAGTTCAGAAGTGAATTATAAATCTGACGGAGCCAGTCCATTTAGACAGACGCAAGAAAAAGGGTGTGTTTCCAGGCAACTGAAAACAGTGAGTTGCAAGATTAGGAGGCTCACTCTGATTAAATAGGGAACTTGACTCTTCTTGCATAATTGATTCCCAATTAGGTGAAGTCCCACTCTCCCACCCCACCCTCTGTTCCCTGCAGCACCGGAAATCCTGTAACCCTTTGGGTTCTGGAGGAAATTTAACATCTCTGAAACCCTGGTCTAGAGAAGCAGCTCGTTTTCCCAGATGCTGCCGTAGAGAAACTGGAGGCACAAGCGCCTGGCTTTGCCAGAATGGAAAAGATGTGCTTAGGAAAAAAGGAAGTAAAACAAAGAGAAAGAAAAAACAAAGTGCTTAAATATGTAAAATTTGGAATCCCTAAATTCCAGGTTTTATGGAATTTAGGATTCACTCACATGGTGAGTATTAAGCTAGCCCCACCCCATAACATCTTTCTTTCTTTCTTTCTTTTCTTGAGAGGGAGTCACTCTCTCACATAGGATGGGGTGCAGTGGCACAATCTCGGCTCCCTGCTCCCGCCTCCTGAGTTCAAGTGATTCTCCTGCCTCAGCCTCCTGAGTAACTGAGATTACAGGTGCAAGCCACCATGCCAGGCTAATTTTTGTGTTTAGTAGAGACATTGTTTTACCATGTTGGTCAGGCTGGTCTCAAACTGCTGACCTCAAATGATCCGCCACCTTGGCCTTCCAAAGTACTGGGGTTACAGGCATGAGCCACCACACCCAGCCACAGTCTCTTATCATTTACTTCTTTTCTTTCTTTTTAGTTTTTGAGAAAGGGTCTCACTCCACCACCCAGGCTGGAGTGCAGCTCACTGCAGCCTTGAACTCCTGGGCACAAGCATCTCCCACCTGAGCCTCCCAAGTAGCTGGGTCTACTAATGCATGCCACCACGTTCAGCTAATTCTACATGTTTTTCGTAGAGGCAGGGTTTTGCCATATTGCCCAGGCTGGTCTGTAATTCCTTAGCTCAAGTGATCCTCCTGCCTTAGCCTCCCAAAAGTGTGGGATTACAGGTGTGAGCCCCCACCATGCCCCAACCTGCTTTCCTTTCATTCATTTGTTTGCATTTTTCTCTGTAGTCTTCTGAGGAAGTGAGTTTGTCAATTGATCACTGCTTATTTGCAAAGCTGATTTCAATATCCTTTGTTTCAGGTAGAAGAGAAAAGGGTGAGAGAAAACACCCTTCTATAAATAATGGATAATAGTTTTTTGCTTCATAAGATATCCAATAGACCAGTGGTTCTTGACTTCCAGGGAACATTTCGCAATGTCTGGAGACATTTTTGGTTGTCACAACTGAGGGGAAGCTACTGACGTTTAGTGAGTAGAGGCCAGGAATACTGGCAAACATGTTGCAAGGCCCAGGACAGTTCCCACCATGAAGAATTATCCAGCCTAAAGTGCCAACAGTGCTGAGGTGGAGAAATTCTGCAATGGACAGAATGTCTGTGTTCATCTCAGACAGAAATATGAACACAGTTCCATTTCTAGCCATGTTTACAATTAGGTATTTATGCTGAAGTATTCACAGGTGAATTCCTAGGATGTCTGAGATTTGCATTGAAATATGCTGGGGCGAGGCACAGTGGCGCCTATCTGTAATCTCAGTACTTTGGGAGGCTGAAGCAGGAGGATCACTTGAGCCCAGGAGTTTGAGACCAGCCTGAGCAACATGGCAATACCCAGTATCTGAAAAAAAAAAAAAAAAAAAAGCTGGGTATGGTGGTGTGTGCCTGTAGTCCCAGCTACTTCAGAGGCTGAGATGGGAGGCTGGGGAGATGGAGGCTGCAGTGAGCTGAGATGACACAACAGCATTCCGGCCTGGGCCCCAGAGGAAGACCCTACCTCAGAATAAGTAAATAAATAAAATATGCTAACAACAGCATGGTTGCGGGCGATAAATATGACCAGCTCAGAACGTTGATAACTGTTCAGTGATAGGTACATGGGGTTCACTGTACCATTGGCTCTACTTTTGTGTATGTCTGAAATTTCCTGTAGTAAATGTATAAAGTGAAATTGTATATCCAGTGTGCAATGCATGGCTGCAGCTCATGCTTTGTCAGTCACGGCATTTTCTTTTTTTTTTTTTTTTTTTGAGACAGTCTCACTGTGTTGTCAGGCTGGAGTGCAAGTGGCTCGATCTCAGCTCACTGCAACCTCTGCCTTCTGGGTTCAAGCGATTCTCCTGCCTCAGCCTCCTGAGTAGCTGGGATTAAAGGCACATGCTGCCATGCCCAGCTGATTTTTATGTTTTAAGTAGAGATTGGGTTTCACCATGTTGGCCAAGATGGTCTTGAACTCCTGACCTCATGATCTGCCTACTTCAGCCTCTTAAAGTACTGAGATTACAGGCATGAGCAACAGCACCCGGCAGGCAGTCACAGCATTTTTACCCAATCAAAAACAGGGTGGCTGAGCACAGTGGCTCACGCCTGTAATCCCAGCACTTTGGGAGGCCAAGGCAGGTGGATCACCTGATGTCAGGAGTTCAAGACCAGCCTGGCCAACATGGTGAGACCCCATCTCTGCTAAAAATACAAAAATTAGCCAGGTATGACGGCGCCTGTAGTACCAGCTACTCTGGAGGCTGAGGCAGGAGAATCGCTTGAACCTGGGAGGCAGAGGTTGCAGTGACCGAGATCGCACCATTGCAGTCCAGCCTGGGTGACAGAGCGAGACTCTGTGTCAAAAACATAACACAACAAAAACAAAATGGGGTAGCAGTAGGGTGTCTGTGAGGCCAGTGTGGGTAGGTGGCGAGACTGGACGCCTGTAGGGCATGAATCAGGGTGGTGCTTCTCAACCCTGCACATTAAGATCTCCTGAGGAGCCGGGCGCTATGGCTTATGCCTGTAATCCCAGATCTTAGGGGGGCAGAGGCGGGAGGATAGCTTTAGCCCAGGAGTTCGAGACCTGCCTGGGCAATATGGCAAGACCCCATTCTCTATAAAAAGGAAAAAAACAAAAAGACAAAAAAAAAAAAAAGATCCCCTGGGGAGCTTGTAAAAATACAGGCCAGGCACGGTGGCTTACACCTGTAATCCCAGCACTTTGGGAGGCCAAGGCGGGTGTATCACTTGAGGTCAGGAGTTCAAGACCAGACTGGCCAACATGATGAGACCCCGTCTCTACTAAAAATACAAAAATATTAGCTGGTTATGGCAGCCCACACCTTTAATTCCAGCTACTTGGGAAATTGAGGCAGGAGAATCGATTGAACCTGGGAGGTGGAGTTGCAGTTGGGCCGAGATTGCGCCACTGCACTCCAGCCTGGGTGACAGAGAGAGACTCCATCGCCAAAAAAAAAAAGAAAAGAAAAGAAAAAGGAAGGAAGGAAAGAAAGAAAAGAAGATACAGATGCCTGGGTCTTTCCCTAGAGCAAGTGAGTCAGAGTACCTGGAGAACCAGGCATCTGAATTTTTTTTTTTTTTTTTTTTTTTTTGAGCTAGAGTCTTACTCTGTCACTCAGCTGGAGTGCAGTGGCACAATCTCGGTTCACTGCACCCTCTCAGGTTCAAGCAATTCTTCTACCTCAGCCTCCCAAGTAGCTGCGATTACAGGCATGCACCATCACACCCAGCTAATTTTTGTATTTTTAGTAGAGATGGGGTTTCACCTTGTTGGCCAGGCTGGTCTTGAACTCCTGACCTCGTGATCCACCTGCTTCAGCGTCCCAACGTGCTGGGATTATAGGCATGAGCCACCGCACCCAGCCAGCATCTGAATTTTTAAAAGCTCCACTGGTAATTCTATGAGGATTGAAAACCACTGGTGTGGCCAGTAGCGGTGGCTCATGCTTGTAATCCCTCCCACTTTGGGAGGCCGACGCAAGAGGATAGTTTTCGCCCAGGAGTTTAAGACCAGTCTGGGCAATATAGTGAAACCTTGTCTCTACAAAAAAGTTACAAAATTAGCAGAGCATGGTGGCACATACCTGTGGTTCCAGCCACTTCGGAGGGTGAAGTGGGAGGATCATTTAAGCCCAGGAGGCAGAGGTTGCAGTGAGGTGAGATTGTGCCACTGCACTCCAACCTGGGTGACAGAGCGAGATGATGACTTTGAAGAGAAACGAAAACTATTGGTATAAAGAATACAAGGGAAGCTTCCTTCTAACCAGTCTGAGGGGCCTGAACTTCCTGCCTACACATGAGTGTCTGTGGGTTGTATTAAGCTTTCCAGCCTTCTAGAGTAACAGGGAAAAGACACCTGAGGAGTGGAGGCGGCCCAGGCTTCCCTAACTTTGGTAAAGGAGATCGAGAGCAACAGATAGAATAAGAGAGACAGAGACAGAGAGACAGGCAGAAGTCCTGGGCATGAACTACTTGCCTGAAACGAACGGAGTGTAGGTGGACACCGCAGTGAGAATCCCGGTCACCTCCAGGACCATGACACACACCTGAGAGGCTGGAGGAAAAGGATCTCTCCAAGGTGCTCGGCACCCACTGTGCTGGAGCCACACATCTACTCAACACATAGATTTTCTTCTTGTTGTTGTTGAGGCAGTCTCCCCGTGGCCCAGGCTGGAGTGCAATGGAGCGATCTCGGCTCACTGCAACCTCCACCTCCTGGGTAGAAGCAATTCTCCTGCCTCAGCCTCCCGAGTAGCTGGGACTAAAGGTGCGCACCACCATGCCCAGCTAACTTTTTGTATTTTAGTAGAGATGGGGTTTCACCATGTTGGCCAGGATGGTCTTGATCTCCTGACTTTGTGATCCGTCCACCTCGGCCTCCCAAAGTGCTGGGATTACAGGCTTGAACCAGCACACCCACCATTTTTGTTTGTTTGAGACTGAGTACCACTCTTGTCACCCAGGCTGGAGTATAATGGCATGATCTCGGCTCACTGCAACCTCTTCCTTCCAGGTTCAAGCAATTCTCCTGCCTCAGCCTCTCAAGTAGCTGGGATGACAAGGGGCCTGCCACCACGCCCACCTAATTTTTTTGTATTTTTAGTAGGGATGGGGTTTCACCATGTTGGCCAGGCTGGTCTCGAACTCCTAACTTCAGGTGACCCACCCACCTCAGCCTCCCAAAGTTTTGGGATTACAGGCATGAGTCACCATGCCTGCCCCCAACACACGGATTTTGAAGGTCGACTTTGCACTAGACAATATGCTAGCTTATATCCTGGAAGAACAATAGAAATGCACCTCGATATCTAAGTTTGTATATACACATATACAATTCATGTGAAATTATATAAATATAACACAAGGCATAATATGTAATGAGAGGTACAAAAAAAGATATCAAGAAAAGAGAGAGGCCAATTGTACTTTGCAGAAAACACTGATGAATGAATACATGAATGGATTCCAGAAATCCAACAAAATATCCTTGGTATAAGGAAACTAAACAACACCAAAGGATGTGTATTGAATTATTTTCCACTTCGTTGGAAATCTACGTGGTTGAAGACACTGAAGTGTATTAATGCTTGTATTAAAAGGAAATTACGGATTACTTATGGTGAAGTCATATATTACCTTACAGGATGCTGAAACCCGAAGGCTCCCTTTGATCCAAAAGTGTGTTGGTCAGCCCTAGGTGCAAGCTGTAACGACAGACACATACAAACACAGAGACAGTGCCGGAGCATCGGAAGGTGACATCCTGAGGTTTTAAACCATAGAACCTAGGTCATCTGCAATTGTTCATATCAATATCAACTTTAGAGAGTTTAGACACTTTAGCAGCATTCAATAAGCCTGTTCCTGTTACTGCAGCCCAAAACGTCCCAGGTGCTGTGAAGAATTCAGATGGAAGGAGTTAGACACAGTGCCTCCGTCCAGCATTTTACAGGCCCATGGACAGAGACGCACATGTATGCAAATAACCATGCTACCAAGCACCACACGGTGAGACGCCCATGATTCTAAGTGTGACAGAAGGTCAGGAGCGGGTTCATGGAGGGCCTCACAGAGACATCTGCAGCATGTGGGTTTGCAATTCTAAGACTATTTTGGTAGAGGAGAGCATCCAATTCAGAGTGGCAGGACCAGGCTCGGTGGTGCATGCCTGTAATGCCAGCACCAAGGCGGGTGGATCACCTGAGGTTGGGAGTTCGAGACCAGCCTGACAAACATGGTGAAACCCCCTCTCTACTAAAAATACAAAAATTAGCTGGGCGTGGGCATGATGGCGCCTGCCTGTAATCCCAGTTACTCAGGAGGCTGAGGCACGAGAATCACTTGAACCTGGGAAGCAGAGGTTGCAGTGAGCCAAGATCCAGCCACTACACTCAGGCCTGGGCAACACACTCGGTCTCAAAAACACACACACACACAAAATCAGAGTGTCAGGAAAACAGGGTGCAGGTGGGGAGCAGTGAGGAGCCTGAAGTGGGGAATACTGAGATGGGCAAAGGGCTCAAACAGCATCAGCTGCCTTGAATACCCACTGTTTAGGTTTGAATCTGGGTACAGGAACTGGAGATGGATTTCTGAGTCAGGGAGTCCAACAATCAGATCTGTATTCCAAGGACAGCAGTGGCCATAGAGAGCCATGCACAGACGAGGCTGACGTAGAAAGGGCTTGGAGGAACCAGTCTTGGCAAGAGATGATAAAGAGCTTCTGGATACGGGAAGGATGTGAACTCAGGCTGGGCACGATGGCTCACGCCTGTAATCCCAGCACTGGGGAAGGCCTAGGTGGGCAGATCACCTGAGGTCAGGAGTCCCAGATCAGCCTGGCCAATATGGTAAAACCCCATCTCTACTAAAAATACAAAATTAGCCAGGTGTGGTTGTGCGCGCCTGTAATCCCAGCTACTTGGGAGGTTGAGGCAGGAGAAATGCATAAACCTGGGAGGCGGAGCTTGCACCACTGCACTCCAACCTGGGCCACAGAGCAAGACTTGGTCTCAAAAAAAAAAAAAAAAAGAATTGAACCCAAGAACCAGCAATGGGAAAAGAAAGGAAAGGCAGACTCCAAGTATCTGTCAGTCACATCCAGAAGCTCTGTGACAGCTGGAGCAGCAAGAGCTAGGAAGGGCAGCTGGTCTGAGCACCAGGCAACCAAGGACACCACGAATGACAGCAACACAGCAGAGAGCCAGGCTTTTCCATGCTCGCTGCTGAGCAGGGTGGCCAGGAAAGGGAGGGACAATCACACTCTACCTATCCAAGGTGGGTCCTGTTCTGCCCAAACTCCTGAGAGTGCTGGATCTGAAAGGACTTGGCTTGAAATACAGCCAGGTTATCCCAGGGGCTGAAACATCAGAAGTCATCATGTGCTCTCAGGGCTCTGTAAGCTAAGTTCCTGGGGTAAGTGGGGGCATGGGGCATTCTGGGATAAACCATCCTGGGAGGACTTGAAAATGAGCTGAAATGGGCTGGGCGTGGTGGCTCACACGGGTGATACCAGCACTTTGGGAGGCTGAGGTGGGCGAATCACAAGGTCAAGATATTGAGACCAGGCCAGGTGCGGTGGCTCACAACTGTAATCCCAGGACTTTAGGAGGCCAAGGTGGGCAGATCACCTGAGGTCGGGACTTCAAGACCAGCCTGACCAACAATGGAGAAACCCCATCTCTACTAAAAAATACAAAATTAGCCGGGTGTGGTGATTCACTCTTGTTGCCCAGGCTGAAGTGCAATGGTGCAATCTCAGCTCACTGCAACCTCTGCCTCCCAGGTTCAGTAGGTTCTCCTGCCTCAGCCTCCCAAATAGCTAAGATAACAAGCATGCACCACCATGCTCGGGTAATTTTTGTACTTTTAGTAGAGACAGGGTTTCACCATGTTGGCCAGGCTGGTCTCGAACTCATGACCTCAGTTGATCCGCCTGCCTCTGCCTCCCAAGGTGCCAGTAATTACAGGTGTGAGCCACTGCACCCGGCCTGGTGTAAAACTTTTAAAGCTGTATATGTTTGTGGGTAAAGTGTTGAAAGTGGATAAACGTGTGCTGAATGTTTCACAGGGTCCAGTTAGAACTGAATGATTTACAGAAGCTATTTTTTCTCTGACACCTGCCACTGCCGAGTTAGGCCCTGTCCCATCGCAGGGTGGCAAACAGCCATTAGCAGGACAGGATTGCTGTGGCCATAAAGTGAGCTTGGGCAATTAGAAGTGTTTTATAATTACAAACAGAGCTTAAGAAAGAAGCAACTGGCTGGGCGCGGTGGCTCAAGCCTGTAATCCCAGCACTTTGGGAGGTCGAGGTGGGTGGATCACGAGGTCAAGAGATTGAGACCATCCTGGTCAACATGGCGAAACCCCGTCTCTACTAAAAATACAAAAAATTAGCTGGGCATGGTGGCGCATGCCTGTAATCCCAGCTACTCAGGAGGCTGAGGCAGGAGAATTGCCTGAACCCAGGAGGCGGAGGTTGCGGTGAGCCGAGATCGCACCATTGCACTCCAGCCTGGGTAACAAGAGCGAAAAAAAAAAAATTAGAAGAAAAAAAAAGAAAGAAGCAGCTTCCTGTAGCCCCCAAAGAGTGAACAACTTAATGGAAAAGATTTTGTTCCAAAAGCTTCATCACTTCCTTAGCTCAACACAGTGAATTATGAAAATCTGGCTGATAAAATGCAGCATCTGCAGAGGCTCCTTACAGGCTAATTTGCTCATGAATGTTGTGTGCACATCCCCTGGCCCCAGTGTCCCTGAAGGATGGAATGATGTGGAGATTGCTGGTGTTAAAGTCCTTCCTTGTCAGGCTATAGCAAGTTTTGTCCCATTCCTTGTCTGGTTCCAACTGAATTCTGGAATCTGAGGGTTTGGAGTTTCTGGTGCACTGCCCCAGACCATTTCAGCTCATTTTCATTTATTTATTTTTGAGACAGAGTCTCACTCTGTCACCAGGCTGGAATGCAGTGGTGCAATCTCAGCTCACTGCAACCTCTGCCTCCCAGGTTCAAGCGATTCTCCTGCCTCAGCCTCCCAAGTAGGTGGAACTACAGGCAGGTGCCATCATGCCCAGCTAATTTTTTTTGTATTTTTAGTAGAGATGGGGTTTCACCATGTTGGCCAGGATGGTCTTGATCTCTCTCTCTCTTTTCTTTTTGAGACAGAGTTTTGCTCTCCCAGGCTGTACTACAATGGCACAATCTCAGCTCACTGCAACCTCCACCTCCTGGGTTCAAGTGATTCTCCTGCCTCAGCCTCCCAAGCAGCTGGGATTACATGTGAAGTCAGGAGTTCAGTGTTTTCCAGGAAACTACCTCCCTGGCAATGCCCGAAAATGACAAGGATGGAAACACAACAGACACCAAGAAAGGTCAGGTAGGGGAGGGAGATCGCTTCCTAGGGTGGTAGGGGCATCAAGTGGGTGAGGGTGACCCTGCTGCTCAGAGCACAGGGCCTTGCCTTCCCTTTACTTGAGGGTTTTTTTGTTTGTTTTTTTGAGACAGGGTCTTATTCTGTTGCCAGGTTGGAATGCAGTGTCCCAATCTCAGCTCACTGCAACCTCTGCCTCCTGGGTTCAAGCGATCCTCCGGTCTCAGCCTCCCAAGTAGCTAGGATTACTGGCACGCGCCACACCGCCCGGCTAACGTTTGTATTTTTAGTAGAGACAGGATTTCACCATGTTAGTCAGGCTGACATTGAACTCCTGACCTCGGATGATCTCCCTTTCCCCACCTCGGCCTCCCAAAATTCTGGGATTACAGGCGTGAGCCACGCGCCTGGCCTACTTGAGGTTTTATTCTAGTTTTGCTCTGCTTGCCGGGAGCCCTGGTACGGGTCACCAGGCCTTAGCCCTCCTCACCCCCACTGCAGCCAATGGCATTTTTGAGAAATACAGAATGGGGCTTGGGAACTGGGGAATTCTCCTGCTTGTCGGGGGAGGGCGCTGTTGAGCAAGAAGCGTTCCTTCCCCATGCTGGGCTGCGCTATCGCTGGGCTGCCGGGGATCGAGCGCGATGCAGGGTACCAGAGCACCGACTAAGCGCTGGCCGCTCTGCGCGACAAGCTGGACCCAGCAAAGAGCAGGTCCCGGGCTGGGGGTGGGGCGTGGCGGGCTCTTCAGCCCCCAGGGAACACCCACTCTCCCCACACCCACATCCATGGACAGAACTACTTCAGCGTGACAGCCTACCAATCAGTAAGAAAGTTACTAAAGTTTAACGTTTTTCTGCAAGTACATTTTTCTCACAAACGGACTTATCATAACAGAAAACAAAACCAAAAACCATCTGTCTTACTGAGGAAGCGTGCTATCGCATTTTGATTCTTGCAAACGACTGATAGGCTCCACATCCATTTCACTGAAAAGAACACTGGGTAATTGTGAACATCTATATTTTCACACAAGCACCTTTACATTTTATGTTTAAGAACTAAGTGTGAATGCGAAACAAGGGATTATTTTTTTTCTTTTTCCCCGAACCACATGGAATGGAAATAAGGGATTATTTTAATTATTTAGATATTATATGTATAAAAAAATGGGGACTGAAAATCATACTTTTTTAAACTAATTTATATTTTTATCTGCTTCCTTCTTTGAAGTAAATTAAAATTCCTAATATTCAGATTAATTTAATGAAGTCGTCTAAATATCAAAATGTGGTGAAGGCCTGTTTTCCCACACTCGAGTTTTCTTACCATATTACAAGTAACAGGCGTTATGTAAATTAAATACATCGCCTTTCCCAGCCTAATTCTTCAGTGTTTCAAGAGTCATCAAGAAAATAAATAAAATAAAAGTCATCAATTTATGTTTTAAAATATAACAAAGGAAAGGTAAATTCTATGAAAGCCAGTCATGACATCAGTGAGTATAAAGCAATTGAGTTAGCAATGCAGAGTCACAAAAGAATGTTCGTGGCAATTAATCTCGCCCACAAAGCCCTCGCCTTGAGTGTGTTTGCTCAGACAACATGAGTTACCTCAGGAGTGCTTGACGGGGCTGAAAGTGCTTCAGAAAGGGCCAGACGCTGGGTGGGGGCTTTTAACTGCACCTCTGGGCACCTCAGATGGGGCTGGCCTTATTTGCTCTGTGGCACCGGGCAAATGCTAATGGTGCTCTCAGCTTTTCTCTAAGGCAAGGGGCAGTGGCAGCCGTCTCCCCTCCCCTCCCGACCTGTAACTGCAACACGCAGGACCACCCTTATAATTCCCATGAAAGGACTATGACTTTGCTGTCGTTGTTTTTGGTGTGTGTGTGTGTGTGAGAGAGAGAGAGAGAGAGAGAGAGAGACAGACAGACAGAGAGAGAGAGAGAGACAGGGTTTCACTCTTGTTACCCCCGGGCTGGAGTGCAATGGTGCGATATCGGCTCACCACAACCTCCACCTCCTGCGTTCAAGCGATTCTCTTGCCTCCGCTTCCCAAGTAGCTGGGATTACAGGCGCGCACCATCAAGCCCGGCTAATTTTTGTATTTTTAATAGAGACGGGGTTTCGCTATGTTGGCCAGGCTAGTCACAAACTTCTGACCTCAGATGCTCTGCCCGCCTTGGCCTCCCAAAGTGCTGGGATTACAGGCCTGGGCCACCGCGCCGCCTACGACTATGATTTTGTAATGGGTTTGCTTTTTTTTTTTTGTTTTTTTTTTTTTTAAGAATGGAGAAGCCTCCAGGAGCCCAATCTATAATGAGACTCAGGTGTAATTAACAGCTTACTCATTCAGATTCCAGCTCCCAAACCCCGAGGCGCTCCTGGGTTAGACGCCCAAGGTAGAGCCCTGCGCAGGAGGTCTTTCACGGTCTCCTTATTTTAAAAGACGGTGCCACTTTCTGGCTGGACAGGTTGCCTACAGCGCCCGCGCTGAACCTTACCGGGCTTTCCGTTCTGGTCAGTTCAGTATCCTCAGGTGTCTGGATCCAAGGTCGCCACAGCTCGGGGCTGGAACGGCAAACGCCAGGAGAGAGTGAACTCTGGGCACTCTGCTGCCTTCAAACTAGGTCATGAGAGTTATTCTTTTTTCCAGTGCCTGCCTGAAAAAGAGACACCGGACCCCCCAGGAACTTCCCCTCGAGTTATCAGGGGTGTGGATAAATTACTGTCATTTGTGTTTTTTCTCGCCTGAAACGTCCCTAGTTCTCTGCTCCCAGTTAAGCTTTGAGAAGGCAGGCCCTGAATCTCACACAATTATCTGAGAACCCATTAGATGAGAGATTTCTCTCCCTGCAAATCGTAGCTGAATTCTTCAATTCGGGGTTCCCCAACTATAGCTGGCCACTTGTCGTTAATTTGAATCACGCCACCTCGGCCACTGAAGGATCTTGATTCTACCACAGAGATGATTTTATAGAGTTATAGGACGAAAAAAACAAGAAAGGTGGCCGGGCGCAGTGGCTCACGCCTGTAATCCCAGCACTTTGGGAGGCACTTTGGGAGTTCGGGACTAGCCCTGACCAACGTGGCTAAACCTCGTCTCTACTAAAAATACAAAAATTAGCCGGGCGTGGTGGCAGGCTCCTGTAATCCCAGCTACTCCGGAAGCTGAGGCAGGAGAATCGCTTGAAGTCGGGAGGCCGAGATCGGGCCACTGCACTCCAGCCTGGGCCACAGAGTGAGACTCTGTCTCAAAAATAGATAAATAAATAAATAAAAAGAGAGACAGAAAAGAAAAGAAGGAATCTTTCTCCTGCCTGGCTACCTGGCCCACCCGGCCCACTTGCTCCCTTCCCTACCTCCCCGGCTAATTTGATTTCCTTCAACCTTACTGTCTTTAAAAGGGCAGGTGCCCAGGGACAGCGAACGCTGTCCCTTTGCAAGGCTGGCTCCGGAACCCGAGACTTCGGTGTCCTCGGCCGGCGAATTGAGATCTCTACTCGGAAGCGTCGGCCCCTTTCCCGGCCAGGTACCTCCTGGGCCCCCGAAGTTCAGAGCTGTGCGCTGGCACCGGGAGAACTGAGCGCCCCTCCCCGGAACCGGGCTGCGGCTCCGGAGCTTGCTCGGCGTCGCCGTCGAGCTTGGGAGCTGCGCCGGGACTCGGGGTCTGAGCGGCGCTCCCCGCACCGCCACCGCGCGCGCATCTCCGTGAGTCCACCGGGACGCGGGGCCACCCTCACCTGTCCAGAACGCGCTGTGGCGGAGGCCTCCGGGGACCGTCCCCGGGGCATTGACAGACGCGCCCCCGCGCCTCCCGGGCTCCGGCCGCCGCCTTGGGCTCCATTTGGTGCCAGCGGAGCCCGCGCCCCCTGCTGCGGCGCCGGCCTTGGTGCGCTCCCGGATCGGCTCGGTGAGCGCGCCAGACTACCCGCCAGCCAGGTTTAAAAACGGGGGCGGGGCGGGGCGGGGCGGGAAACTGAGGGGAGGGGGCAGGACCCAAGGAGCTCCGGGAGCGCTGCGGAGGGGCGGCTGGGTGTGGAGGGAAAGCCCGGGGCGGAGAAGTGGAGGAGACCAGGGAGCTGGGGGATGGGGAGGAGACGAGAAAAACTCGAGGAGGGGAGTCCGGCAGGCCCGGGCAGGGGTGGGGACGGACAAAGAAAAGCCAGGGAGGGGGCACCAGGGAAGGGGCGACCAGAGGAAGGAGGCACCGGGGGCTGGAGTCGCCAGCTCGGGCTTGAGAGCGCGGGAAGTGACCCTGGAAGCCCGGAGAGGAAAGCGAGGCCCGAGAGGCTAGGGACGTTTCCGTCGGGCGCTGTCCCTCCGGGACTTGGGAGACCCGCGATCACCAACTGGGCCTCCCTGACGGATGTGGGATGTTGAGGAGTCCCGGCTTTTCCGTCCCTCTGTGGTCCCCCTTGGCCTCAGGCTTTGGTCCTGCGCGAGCATCGGGTTCCCTGGGTTTCCGGAAAATATTGCGTCCACCGCCTTATAGCGGCGGCGGGGTTTGGGGGACATCTATCTAATCCTCCGACCTGCGTGGACCGGCCCTGCCTTCGGTGCTGGTCAGCCGGCGCCCCGACGCCCCAGGCGTCGAACCCCAGGCGAAGCGGGTGGAGTGGGACTCGGCGACGCTTCCAGGCGACGGAAGGCCAGGGAGGGGACCGAGCAAGAGGAGTGCTATGAGCTCACCCTTCCCATCGATGGTGGCCTTGGAAATAATGCCCGTTTTTAATCAAGCCGGGAGCGGCGGGCTTCTCCTTCGGTTAGCCCTAGCCAGGCTTAGAAACCGCCTCCCGACAGGTGGGAGCGACCTTGCCCGACCCTGGGGACACTTCCCCGGGCGAGCCTGAGCCGCGGGAGTCGCTGGAGCGCCGCTGCCACCGTCACCAGCGCTCGGCCAGGGTGGGAGGAAAGCGGTTTCACGCGTAGTGCACTGCGGCAGAACACCGAAGGCGCTGGAGGGCCGCGGGCCTGGACCCTCAGGGGTAGTTACTTTATATAATTTAAATTACCGTAATGGTGTTAAAAAATCGAAGAACTTCAGGAATTAAAGTGTTTTCACATTTTTTTAAAGATCTGAATAACAATAATGAAATATAATTAAAGGCAAACATTTAAGAGGGGGAATTAATGAGAGATACCTAGAAGGAGGCAAAGAACAGTAACCGGCCAAGTTGCAACAATAAGGTACCAGATTTAATCTACCAATGCAGAACGCTGTTTTAAAAGCACACAGGGCAAGGCGCGGTGGCTCAGGCCTGTAATCCGCGCACTTTGGGAAGCGGAGACATACGGATCACTTGAGGTCAGGAGTTCCAGACCAGCCTGGCCAACGTGGTGAAACCGGTCTCTACAAAAATACAAAAATTAGCTCGGCGTGGTGGAGCGTGCCTGTGGTCCCAGCTACTCAGGAGGCTGAGGTGGGAGGATTACCTGAGCTCGGGGAAGTCGAGGCTGCAGTAAGCCATGATCACGCCACTGCAGCCCAGCCTGGGTCAGAAAGTGAGACGCTGTTATTTTTCATATATATTGTATATATTTAATTATATATATATATAGACACACACACATACATACATATATATACACACACACATATATATAATTTTTTAAAAAGAAAAGACGCTGTTATTTTTCTCAAACATTATATATATAATTTTTTAAAAAGAAAAGATGCTATTTTTTCTAAAATATTATATGTATATGTAATTTTTTTTCTTGAGATGGAGTTTCGCTCTTGTTACCCAGGCTGGAGGGCAATGGCACAATCTCAGCTCACCGCAACCTCCGCCTCCTGGGTTCAGGCAATTCTCCTGCCTCACTCAGCCTCCTGAGTAGCTGGGATTACAGGCATGCGCCACCATGCCCAGCTAATTTTTTGTAGTTTTAGTAGAGATGGGGGTTTCACCATGTTGACCAGGATGGTCTTGATCTCTTGACCTCGTGATCCACCCGCCTTGGCCTCCCAAAGTGCTGGGATTACAGGCTTGAGCCACCGTGCCCGGCTATGTATATATAATTTTTTAAAAAGAAAAGAAAATGAAAGAAGACTGGGCAACCAGGTGTGGAAGGGGTGTTTCCATTATGCTTGTTTTTTGAGACAGTCTTGCTCTGTTGCCCAGGCTGGAATGCAGTGGCATGATCATGGCTCACTGCAGCCTCGACCTTCCAGGTTCAAGTGATCCTCCTGCCTTAGCCTCCCAAGTAGCTAGGACTACAGGTGTGCACCACTATGCCTGGCTAGGTGTGGGTGTTTTTAAATGGGTGTCTGCTAGGGAGCTGGAGGCAATGCAATGAAAAAGCTTGATTAGATGTATCCTTTGCCGTAAAAATGTTCACCCAGGCCAGGAGTAGTGACGCATGCCTGTGGTCCCAGCTACCTGGGAGGCTGAGGTGGGAGGATTGTTTGAGCCCAGGAGTTCCAGGCTGCAGTGAGCCATGATCATGCCACTGTGCTCCAGCCTGGGCAACAGAGCAACACCCTAAGACCCTATCTCAAAAAAAAAGCACAACAAAAATGAACCTTCACCTTTTGTCCCAGTGATTCTACTTATGTCTACACTATAGATGTATTTTGAAATGGAAATGAAGATGTGTTTAATCAGAGAGCACTGCTTATAGTGTTGAAAAACTATGTCAAAAATACGGCAACAATTAAAAAACGATGTTAGAATAGTATGCAGCTAACAAAAATATGTTTACAGAATTTTGAACCGCACGGGGAGAAACATGACACAATGTGAAAAGAACAAAACTGTGTGATTAGGATGTGAACTCTAGTCAAAGGCTACAAATACGACAGAAGTGCCTGCTGAGTGCTGGCATTACTCAAGATTTGGAGGGGCTTTAAAAATTGTTTTCTAGCGGGGCGAGGTGGCTCACACTTGTAATCCCAGCACTTTGGGAGGCTGAGGTGGGCAGATCACAGGTCAGGAGTTCGAGACCAGCTTGTTCAATATGGTGAAACCCTGTCTTTAATTTAAAAAATACAAAAATTAGCCAGATGTGGTGGCGCATGCCTGTAGTCCCAGCTACTCAGGAGGCTGAGGCAGGAGAACTGCTTGAACCTGGGAGGTGGAGATTGCAGTGAGCCGAGATTGTGCCATTGCACTCCAGCCTGGGCGACAAAGTGAGACTCCATCTCAAAAAAGAAAATGAAAAAAAATTTTTTAGGCCGAGTGTGGTGGCTCACACCTGTCATCCCAGCACTTTGGGAGCGACACTGCACTCCAGCCTGGGCAACAAGAGCGAAACTCCATCTCACCAGAAAAAAAAAAAAAAAATTCTAAATTTTCAACAATTAATATATTACTTTTTATTGTGGTAAAAGGTACCTAACATAAAAGTTGCCATTTTCAATGTAGAGTTGAGTGGCAGTAAGTCCACTTGTCGTGCAACTGTCCCACCATCTCCAGAACTTTTTAATCATCCAAACCAAAACTTGGTACCCATGAAACAATAACTCCTCATTCCCCCGCCCCTACTATGCATTGAACCATTCCAGGCACCTCACAGAAGTAGAATCATTTGTTCTTTTCTGGAGTATACATTAATTTACAATCCTCCCTCTAACCCTCCAAATTAAGCATTATCCTCAGTTTACAAATTAAGAAACTGGAGTTCTCAGAGGTTAAGTAACTGGTACCAAGTCACCACTTGCTTAGAGAGGCAGGACTCAGTTCCTGCCAGGTACCTGAGCTGTAGAAATTGAGCACCACGGCCGGGTGCGGGGGTTTTCCCAGCACTGTGGAAGGCCAAGAAGGGCAGATCATGAGGTCAGGAGTTAAAGGCCAGCCTGGCCAGCATAGTGAAACCCCATCTCTACTAAAAATACAAAAATTAGCCAGGTATGGTGGCATGTGCCTGTAGTCCCAGCTACTTGGGAGGCTAAGACAGGAGAATTGCTTGAACCCTGGAGGCAGAGGTTGCAGTGAGCTGAGACTGCACCATCAGACTCCAGCCTGGGCAACAGAGCAAGACTCTGTCTCAAAAAAAAAAAGAAAAAGAAAAAAAAAGAAAGAAAGAAAAGAAAAGAAAGCAAGAGAGTAAATGCCAGGCAGTAGAAATAAATTTAAAAGGCCAGGCATAGTGGCTCACGCCTGTAATCCCAGAACTTTGGGAGGCCAAGGCAGGTGGATCACTTGAGGCTGGGAGTTCGAGACCAGCCTGGCCAATGTGGTGAAACACTGTCTCTACTAAAAATACAAAAAATTAGTTGGGCATGGTCTCAGGCCCCTGTAACCCTAGCTACTCGGAAGGCAGATGCAGGAGAATCACTTGAACCCAGGAGGAGGGAGTTGCAGTGAGCCAAGATTGCGCCACTGTACTCCAGTCCGGATGACAGAGTAAGACTCTGTCTCAATAAAATAAAATAAAAATAAACTTGTAAAATGTAAAATGAGGTTTTGTTTTCCTTTGTTTTTTAGTTTTTCTTTCTGCAGGTGAAGGAACTAAAATGCAGTGAACGAAATAAATTGCCATTGAGGTGGATGGGAATTCAAAGACCTTTTGTGTTACCAAGTGTTTATAACGATTTCTTTTTATTTATCTATTTATTTATTTTTTGAGACAGAGTTTTACCCCTGTTGTCCAGACTGGAGTGCAATGGCGTGATCTCGGCTCACCACAACCTCTGCCCCGCCCCCCACCCTGGGTTCAAGCAATTCTCCTGCCTCAGCCTCCGGAGTTAGCTGGGATTACAGGCATGCACCATCACACCAGGCTAATTTTGTATTTTTAGTAGAGATGGGGTTGCTCCATGTTGGTCAGGTTGGTCTTGAACTCCCGACCTCAGGTTATTCACCTGCCTCAGCCTCCCAAAGTGCTGGGATTACAGGCGTGAGCCTCTGCCCCCTGCCGGAACTATTTCTTGAAGTTTATTCGGTCCATGGAAGATCCTTATGCTACAGGA